TGCGCTCCGGCTCGCTGGAGCGTACTACGAACTCCGCGACTTTGGGTTCTCCCCAGCAGGTTGGCAGAACTGCGTCAGAGCTAGTTTGAAGGCATTAAAATTCATAATTGGCACTTAATGAAGCTACCGCATGGATCACGCAGCGGTGATGTAAGGGTTTGCAGCTTCACAGGTGGAATTGGTAATGCTCCTGTTGAAGCTGTCTGGGAGTAAAAGATAGTAAAAGACACACAACACTTAAAACTTGATGGTCTCCTTTGAACTGTGTAAATAATCCTCGTAAATATGGAATAAAGGGGATGGAATTGGGAAATTTTGTGCATTGCTGCTCTGTGTGCTGTGAGAGCATCGATGTACACAGGTTGGAGCTGGCACAGCCGGGGCTGCGTTTGTTGAAGGACTGAAAGTGAACTGCAGCCCCGTGACAGAGACCTGGCTGATCCTCTCTCCCCACAGCACGGGACAAGTAACGTGACCGGTCCTGTCCCAGTGAAAGCCGGCGAAACATGACAATATCCAAAATAGCAACCTCAGCAGGCCGGCGGGTACATCAGGGTGCAGCCACGCGCTGGGTGTCCCACCCGCAGCCCAGCGGTGTTCCTGGGCGCGAGCTCCTGTCCAGGAGAGAGGGTGCAAGCAGCATGTGTGCTTTCTGAAAAATATCCAAGAAACTCTGACACCTTGAGCTACTGCTGTGGTATTTTAACGCTCGTGGAAATCTCTTGCTCTTCTGACAAGTCTGATGAGGAGTGACTGGGAACTGGGGCTGTTTAGTCTTGAGAAGAGCAGGCTGAGGGGGCACCCTATTGCTCTCTACAACTACCTGAAAGGAGGTTGTAGTGAGGCAGGTATTGGTCTCTTCTCCCAAGTAACTAGCCATAGGACGAGAGGCAATGGCCTGAAGTTGCATCAGGGGAGGTTTAGAATAGATATTAGGAAAGATTTCTTTACTGGAAGAGTGGTCAGGCATTGGACGAGGCTGCCCAGGGCCGTGGGGGAGTCCCCCTCCCTGGAGGTGTTCAAAAACCGCGTAGATGTGGCACTTCGGGATATGGTTTAGTAGGGATGGTGGTGTTGGGTTCACAGTTGGACTTGATGATCTTAGAGGTCTTTTCCAACCTTAATGATTCTATGATTCTCTGCACTGACTTGTGCATTGAATGAGGTGGCACTCGAGGAATAAGAGTAGACAGGCCAGGACTTGCCATCTACACAAAACCAGAGTGATTAGATCAAAAAGTGATCATTCCCAGGTTATTGTGTTTGAGTGCATCACTTCATACTTCTCGATGACCTGGATCTTGACTCACACGGAGGCTTGCCTTGCCTTGCAGGGATGGCTGGCTTTGCCATGGTGGTTGGCTACGGGCTGTACAGACTGAAGCACAGAGGCGACATGAAAATGTCGCTTCACCTGATTCACATGCGCGTGGCAGCCCAGGGCTTCGTCGTGGGAGCGATAACGTGTGGTAGGTACCCAGCAGGAGGGAACTGCTGAGCCACGGGGAACCTCTCGCATCTCTTTTCCGAGTGGGTAGCGCAGCGTGCGTGAAACATCCTCAGGGTGGAAGTGTCCAGGCCATTATATTTCAGGATGTTTATGGTTATTACTGGTGTTTGCTCAGCCTTTCTACAGTAACGTGATGTTTCACTACGTGTATTTAATACTAAACTGCAGTAACTTTGAGAGCCGAAGCTTTTACTTCTTTTAGATGTCAGAAATATGTGAGGTTCTGCAGATGTTGAAATTAGAGGCAAATAAAAAAAAAACACCTGTCTGACATTAGTATTTTCCCTTGTAAATATGTTGCTGTTTCTGAATTTGGAAAATCAGCTTGTGTAGACTGTGGTATTATACATTTTATATATATCTATGTTTTCAAGGCTGGAATTGTGTCCCTGAACATACTGAGTGATTTATGCATCCCAGGTCTTGTCTGTTGCAGCTGTCTGTGTGTATCCCATGACACACTGTTTGTCTATACCGTACTCCCAGCAGGTACAACAGAAAAGTTTAGCTTTGGCTGCAGAGCAAACTAGAATTGGCTATTGTATTTTCCTATCCAGTTTCTCTGGATATGAAGAATTTTGTAGTGTTCATCACTCCTATTAAAAAAATAATACAGCAGAGGAGAAAGGGAAATACTATTTCTGTTGCTGAGAATCTCTCTTACGGTTCAGATTTTGTAACTCAGTATTTCCTATTTAACCCAGTTTCCTAACTGTGCTTGTATTTGTCTTGTAGGTGTGCTGTATTCCATGTTTCGGGAGTACCTGGTGAAGCCCAAGGAGTAATGGAACCGTGACTGAAACCTCTCTCCTGGTGGTGGCCCATGCAGTGCAGCTACAAGCCTCATGCCGCGGGGTTTGTGAGGAGAGTTGTACATGGCATTAGAGAATTACCCTATATCTATTTTGTGTATGGTACCCTGTCTTGAAGCTGGCAGCCTCAATGATTGCGTGCTGGGGGGGTGGGCATCAGGGTCTGGTTCTTTCGGATTGACGCTACCATATCCTGTTTTTTAGGGGCTATGGTAGAGCACAATCCCTTTAGCCTCCCCTTGACTGTCAACTCAGTCCTAAAAATTGGAGACTTCTTTTGCTGCTGTTGCCCAAACCCACAAAGTCTGAACTAGCTTCTGTTAGGCCTCGGGCAGAACGTGGAGGCCACAGCTGTAAGATGGCGTTGTGAATGCTCTCCTGTCACTTTCTATCTTGTATATTTGTCAGCCTCCAGCTTTGTAATTTAGAAGCTTCCAGTAGCACTAAATGACTTCTAAAATATTGAGAGAAATATAAACATCTATTTTTTTGTTATTTAAAGTGTGAGATAAGTATTTGGTGTGTTGCAGCTATTTAAGTCTTATATGTCCCTATTTTTACTACAGATTTTCAGACTCTTGGATTACAATATTCTGTAACTTTATTGAGAGTGTTCTTCTGAATAGCATTTACATGTAACATCTAAAATACGTATCGTGAAAACTAAACCTTGGTGTTCTAATGGTTTTAAAGTATATGATCGAGCTCTTATTTCTGCAGTATCATTCCCTATAGAAATTCTAAAACATTTAAATCTGAAAAGCCCCCACCATCCTCGATGAGGTGTAAAAACCCTTCTCTGTAAACTGCCCGTTATTTTACAGTTGAACCCCCTGTATCTCCAACAGCAGTCACAAAAATAAATGCGTTGGTAAAGCCAATTTGTAAAAACCTCATTTTCTCTAATTAGCTTACATTCCATGGTGACAGTACGATGTCTCTTTTTAACAAATACCGCAAGGTACATCCTGCACCTCTGTGTACAGAGCAGTGGGCGACAGAATATGAATAAATGTGTGAGCACTGGAGATAACAAGTGTTTGGTTCTAGATTTGTTGGGGGAGGGGAGGCTTCCCCCTGTACCTGCAGCTTCCTGTGGAAGGTGGGGTGAAGTTATACACATGAATAAAATTCACCTGAGAGGGTGAGATGCTACAGAAAAGGCCATTCCCAGCCGTTACAATCCTGCTGGTAAGATGCAACAAAAAAGCCCATCCCCAGCCGTTACAATCCTGCTGTCCTTGACTGCTGGTTCTCCCTCACCGGTGGGGAGGGCATGAGGAGACACCTCTCCATGTCGCACACACCTTTTCCTGTAAATGCCCTCCTCCTCCC